CTTATTGTTTCATGCTTCCATTCCAGTCGCTTCTAGGAACCAGGACTTATCTCACTTCTGGTTCTTTCATCATTCATAGAGTTTGACTTCCAGTCTGGTATACCCCAAAACTGTCCCCGTTGAGTCATTAGTACACTATCCTCTCCACAGCCAAACATACACAGAGCTCATTCTATTTTCTCCAGTGGTGACATTTAGTCCTTCAGTTTGGCCTTTCCAGAGTTTCCAAGTGACCTTTCCACTGTTGTCTTTCCTTTTCCTCCACACTCTTTATCCTGCTCTGAGGTGCTAGAACACTCCACTCCCATGCTATAGTGTTCTTCTTGAACAGAACAGGACAAGTCCTGTGAGTGTAAAAAGTGATTATTAATATTCTGTATATATCAACAAATGCTGGAAATTAATATAGCCACAGTTGTTCCTTAAACAGCTACTTCCCCAAATAATGACACAAAGACCTTAAAACATCTCAAAACTTATGCCTTGGCTGGGCATACACTCAACTAGCTTGTCCAGTTAACCTGATCACCAATCCAGCACATGGCTAGCTATGCCTTCTAGGCCTGTAGTCATATCCATCTCCCACTTCATGTGTCGTTGAGAAAAGCCTTTTTCTTCTTCCCAGAGTTCCTTTCTCCCTATGAGAAAGGTTCATCTTCCTCTCTCTCTTGCCCTATCATATGCTTTAGCATTTTATTGATCCATTAAGTTGGGGAGTAAGGTTTGCACAACAAAAGCTGGTTGGTATATGTGAAATTACACCAACACCAGACCAACATGTGAGCTATAGACATTATTAGTCATGAAGCTGATGTGGGCTCCTTCTCTAGTTCTGAAACTAAGTCATCCAAATTTACATCATCTCACTATTTGCACTTCTCCCTTTCACATAGCCATGCTGATCTAACCTGCACACTGAAGTCCACACAAAGATTCCAAATCGAACAGTACACACCAAGGTTGAACATCCTCATCAAATTCACTTAGCTTGAAAAGCAGCGACACACCACAAGTGAGAAGGCAGAGCCTAAGAGAAACCATACCAGAGTGGTACATGTAGGATGATTGACTTTTTCAACTTGATGGATTCTAGAATCACTTGGGAGATGAGCCATGTCTGTTGAACAAGTTAATTGAGGTAACAATACTTATCCAGAGAGGGCAGCAACGTTTCATGGGCTGGGATGTTAAGTGAGTAAAAAGAAGAATTTGAGCTGAGAATACTTTGCTTTCTGCTTCCCAACCATGGATGCAATGTACCCACCTGCTTCCGACACTATGATGACTATATATAAACTTGAACTATGAGCCAAAAAAATTAATCCCTCTTTTCTTAAATTCCTTTTCTAAGTTATTTTGTCCCAGCAGTATGTAAAATAGCTAATATGCTTTGTAATCTTTGATATTCCTAATTATCTATGGGTTGGAACAAGTATATGAGGATGTGTGTCCAACACTGTGACATCATCACACAGAACGAGAGTCATTATGCTAAAGCCTTCTGTGCTTTGCTGAGACACCTGTCACCAGGCCAACCACTGATCCTTTCATTGTGTAGTTTCACCTTTTTTATAATGTCAAATCATTTGAGTTGCATAAATGGCCCTTTAAATTCAGTAATATACACACACGACTCTCAGATGTCTTTATATGGCTAGGTGTCTTGTTTTCAGGAATGAGTAACAGTTCATAGTGTGGTTGTGAGACCTCGGTCTTTTCCTCTGAAGGCATTCAGCTATATCCTCACTGAAATTTGAAAAAAAAATCCTATGATTCAGAGGCTGCGTGTTGGTGATCTACCCAAATTGACTCATAAAATTAATTCTCACACTGAGGTTTCTGTTTCTCTTTTAGTCAAGGGGGCACCCCTATAGTAGGTTATTAAGGTGAGGACAAATATAATCATATCTGTGTTTTACAAAGGCCCCTAACAACATATGACAGGTACATCATGAGAGCCTATTGTTTTGGGCAGTGGTGAAAAAGAGGTGTTTCAGGGTCTGCTTGGATCCAACGCAACTCAAAAGCCAGTGTAGGAAGGAAATGTTTATTGTTATCAAGTCCCTAACTTGTTGGGAGCTGACTCCTAGCAGAAAGTGGCTATCGTCTTTGCAGCCATCTCGAGCCATATACCCTGACAAGAGACCTGTTTTCAACAGCCTACAACAGCTGAGCACACTATGATAAACATCTTGTTTTTCTCACATTTCTTGTTTTGCTGTTTAGTGCTGCCATCTGCAAGGCACACATGGCATCCACGCTGCAAGGCATGTGACATAGTGCCTTCAGCTGTGTTCCCCTGCTTGTCCACAAGGGCAAGGCACATGATAAAGCGTATAAATACCTAGGAATTCCTTTCAATGAATAAATGAGACTTGATCAAACTCTCTGTCTTGTCTCTATTCTTTGTGTCTCTTGCTCCTCTGTCCCCACTCTCTCTCTTGCTAGACCCTGACCCGAGGACCGGAGCAGCAGAATGGGCCAGGACACTAACTGATTGATTCATCAGAGATGCAGAACAGACTTGGGTGTTGAACTGTGACTGTAAGCCAATATGTTATAGAGCTTTTAAGCACAAAAATAAATCACAAAAGCCACATGCCACATTTGTTTGGGTTTTTGTTTTTGTTGTTGTTGTTTTATTTTGTTGTTGTTTTTTTGTTTGTTTTGTTTTTTTGTCAAGCTATAGTTCCATTTTCCAAACATCAGGATTCAGGGACAGAGGACTTTCCTAGGGACATTTCTTTGTGATACACTATTCTGTTCTCATTTCTGGCTTTATTCATCTGTAGTGGGGAAACTTGCCCAGCATTCATGTCAAAAAGGATTTCAGTCATCCAAGGAGGTCTTGGGATTTTAAACTTCTTTGAACTCAAAATGGAAGTTTTATTCAAAATGGCTTCAGTTTAATTGGGACCATGACAGGCAGAACACACAGGCCCCAGGCACATGTGGGAGTTTTCAGTTACCTGACCAGGTTCAATCCTATGATTCAGAGCCTTAGAAAACAGACCCAGATCCCCCTTTCACCACTCAGCTCTTTATCTGATGCTTCCAAGGATTTGTATCAAAGGTAAACTTAGATGCTACTTAAAATTCTAAGAAGCCACTTAAATCATTGGAATAAATAAGAGAGTCCAGCATGAAGCAAACACAATTTTGTGTAGAGATGATTGGAAGCTTTAACAATTTAAGGAGAAAAGGGGATAGGGCAGAGAAAGGGCAGTTGGAGAAATGGAAAACAAGAATACGAAAGTACAACCAGGCCAGCTGTGGAATATCCATGTTTGGGCTCAATCCCTCCACAGAGACGGGGACACAGGTCTATGGGATTTCTCATCCTTGAGAAAGACACTGATGTGTAGTAGAGGATCATACTTACATGAATCAAGGGATGAGAAATTCCAAGTCAAGTTTAGTAAATGCTTTCAACAAGGAGAAATAGATTGCAAAGTTTTTAACAGCCTTGAGATTTCTCAGACAGGTACTTGAAGGATATTCACTTCATTCTAGAGACAAGGCCTTGAGCTGATGGCAATCATGATAAGTATTGGTTCACATCTACTAATGAAGAAGGGGGAGAATCCAAGTCATTCGTGCTGACCGCATAGTGTATCCAGATCAAAGCTGAGGCCTGGTGAAGATGGGAAACCAAGAAGAACTTTCTGGGAAGACACACATGGCCTATTGCTTCTCCATTCCCAGTCAACCATAGATATGCTTTTTCTAACTCCTGTGGCTCCAGCCTTTGCAGACCTAAGCAAGCACTTCAGCTGGATCTCTAACTGGTTTCTCTTATACTTCAGAGAGTAAAGATAATTTCTCATGATATCATAATCACTCTAAACTCCTGGCTGTTAGATGAAAAAAATACAGTAGATTCAGGAGATCAGCCAGTGCTAATTTAAAGTGTTGCCCTTAGTCCTCAGTAGACGTCCAACTTTTACATGCAACCTGAGACAATCACCTTATAAAGAGGACAGTTTTATTCTGGATCATGGTTTTAGAGGTCTCAGTGTATGATCAGTTGGTGCTGTTGCTTGGACCTATGATGTGACTGAGAATCAGGACAGAAATAAAAGGAAGGAAGCAGCTCAGCTCATGGGAGAGAGAGAGAGAGATGATGTCAGGGGCAGCCCTGCTTATACACTGAAGGCCTAAAAGAGATATGAGAGAGAGGGAGAGAGGGAGAGAGGGAGAGAGGGAGAGAGGGAGAGAGAGAGAGAGAGAGAGAGAGAGAGAGAGAGAGAGAGAGAGAGAGATTGATTCTGACCTGGTGACCTGGACAGGAGAAAGCCTTCAGTTCACTGGAACAAAGGAAATTTCTTGCTGCTATAGGAATTTTGTTAGAGTTGGTTGCAGGATGGGGCTGGGGTAGGAGGAAAGGTTCCAAACCATGTACTTAATAAGTAGCCCTTTATACAAATTAGCTTACTTTCTAGGAATCCTCCAGTTTTGAGGTAGATTGTAGAAGTCAGAAAGGTACCAGATAAGAGCAAAGTTATAATTCAAGGCTGCCCCAGGCCTGAGCATCGGGGGTCTGGGGCTGTCCTCCTTGCTCAAGGCCTAAGTACTCTTCCACCAGTTATATCAGGAGACTACTGTAACACCTTCAGAAGCTGACCTCAGGCTTGTAGATCTCAAAGACACTCCCTGTAGTAGAATAGTCTTGTAACCCAGTTGCTTTACCAGAATTCCCTTTTCCCAAATGCTGCAAAAAATAATTAGGACATTAGCCATGGTGCCAAAAATCTGTTGTCCTAGCTACCCAGGTGGCTGAGGTAGAAAGGCCTCAAGTTCAAGACGTACTTGAGCTACAGAAACAGTTTAGGGCCAGCCTGGGCAACTCAATGAGACCATCTCTCAAAGGAAGAAAACAATCTTTTTAAAGGAAATTGCAGATATAATTTAGTGTATAGTATTTGCCTTGCATATGTAAGTCCCATAGTAAATCTCCAGTACTGTAAAAAAAATTACAAAGCAACCAAAAAATTGCAATCTCAGGATTGCTGCAGAGAGGATGAAGTTTATCTCATAATGGTTCACAACATAACAGTACACTCTTCCATGTGGCCCTAAAGTTACTTTAATCTTGAAGGTTACAGTCTAGGAAAGGGTTAATGTAGGGATCAAGGGGTTAGATTAAGCCCTGTAAGAGTGGCTTATTCATAAGGAATCTTAACTTCACATACTGCTCAACACTCTATCATGACTATGTTTTTGTGAAGTCATTTTCCCTAGAGCTGTAGAGAAGCCACAACTGTGTTCTGCAGCTTCCAGAACTGTAAACTAAATACTTCCTTTTTTATAAGCATCCAGATGTGGGTATATTCTTTTCTTTTTCTATTGTTTTGATTTGATTTGGTTTTGTGTTTAATGGTCTAGGATAGCCCAGGCTTGCTTTGAACTTGCTATGTAGCCGAGGCTAGCCCTGCTTGATGTCTGATTCTTTCACCTCCATCTGCTAAGGGTTGTCTTTACAGGTGTGTGCTACCAAGCACAAATTGTCACAACATTTACTGATCCACAGACGAATCATGAGAAAGAGAGTGGAAAAAGGCAGTGGGCTGACAGCACAGCATCATTTCTCATGGGGAGGAGAACCGGCCACAGAACACAATCCCATTGGTCCTGCAGTGCTGGATGAAGAAAAGGAAAGGGTGATTGGCACAGAAGTGGGGGACCATACACCTAAAAGCTACATTGGCTGCGGTGGCAGCTGCAGCCTCTGTGCCCTCCTCATTGACCTCTACAATGGACTTGTGAATGATCTTGGACAAAAACAAGCCTTCTTTAGATGCTATTCCAGAAAAGTCTGCTATGTCCTGCTCAAAGGCATCAGACATGCCCAGCTTGCAAAGGACATCCTTCATGTCATAGTTCTCCTCCAGTTTAAACCTTGGGAGGAAAACCTCCACCTCTTCTTCTTCCATCTTGTTCAGTCTTGTCCACTTTATGAATTTCTTGTAAGTTATTTCCTTTTCCACCTAGAAAAAAAGTTCAAGACCTTAAGTCAGTGCTCCTGAGGTGATGGGGAGGCTCTATATGCCCAGGGAAGTGTGGCTGTAACTTAATATGGTAGCTGGGAGGGGACAGGGAGCAGTTCAGTGGTGAGCATGCTCTAGCTCCTGGGTTCCACCACAGTCACACAAGAATGAAAGATGAAAAACACGATCATGGGAGCCTAGGAGAGCTGCCCCAGCAGAAACACAAACGCCACTCTTTCTCCAGCACAACTCCATCGAGGCCCCATGATCCTTACCGTACTCAGTTCAACGTGTTCATCTGGAAGCATGATGATCATGTTCAGCTCATTGTCAACATAGGGAAGCAACAGAATGGTAGTGGATATCTCTTCCACATAAGTCATCTTAAAGGTAGACTTCTGAAACATCATTTGGACAGGTTTCTCCTCATTCTGTAAATAATGGAAAAATATTAAGTAGAAGAGACACAATGAATACTTTGGGCAACTAAGGTAGCTACTCTCTGCCTATAGAAACACTTTTGATTAAACTTCTAGAACATTCCCTCAGTCCCTCAACCTCTGGAGTAATTTAGATCTTACATGTACCTCACAGGTCCATTTTTTCAAAGCATGGTCCTCAGAATAGAGTTTTGGAGGAGGTGGAATCTTTAAAAGGTGCAACTTAATGGTGGGTATTTAAGTCCTTGAGATGTGCCCTTGAAGGGGATTGTGGAACCTTGGCCTCTTTTTTTCTTTCTTTCACTTTCTGGCCTTGAGGTGATCCATTTTGCTCCCCATCTGATCCCACCATCACCTGTCAGCACCCCCATAACAGGCCTAAGTCATGGATTTATGTCACTGGGAATTGGAACCCCTAAAAGTGAATCAAATGAACCTTTCCTCTTCTCAGCTTGACTGTTTCCTTATCTGTTAATACAGTGTCAGAATGCTGACTGACTCAATCTCCAAACACGTTGGATGTCTTGGACCAACAATTCTTTACTATTGGAGATGTTCATGACTTTGAACATGATTCCCAATTTTATTGTTTTAGCCTGAACTTCTCTCTTAGGACTCTTAACATATATTTTACTTCCCATTTGAGGCCTTCCTTTAAAGAGAAAGAAAGCCCCAACCTAAGATAAGGCAAGAGCTCCATACTTTCTTTTTCAAATTTGAACTTCCTATAATTATTGTCTATCTTAGTCAGTGTTCTATTGCTGTGAAGAGACACCATGACCACAGCAACTCTTATAAAGGAAAACATTTCATTGGGGCTGGCTTATAGGTGCAGAAGTTTAGTCCACTATCATTGTGGCAAGAAGCACGGGAGCACACAGGAAGATATGGTGCTAGAGAAAGAGCCAAGAGTAGTTCTACATCTGGATCAGTAGGCAGCTGGAAGAGAGAGGGCCCCTGGGCCTGGCTTGTATATCAGAAACCCCAAAGCCCACCCCCAGTGACGAACTTCCTTCTACAATGCCACACCTCACAGTGCCACTCCTTAAGCATTCAAATATGAGTCTATGCGGGCCATTTTTATTTCAACCACCACATTGTTCCTCATGCTCCTTCTACTTGTCATAACTATTACCTCTCTTTCACTCAATCCTTTCTCACACCCTGCATCTACCCTATTACCATATAACCAAAACCTGATTTTATTTTTAAACCTCTACTATCATCAGCACAGCCCTGGGATACTCCGATGACCTCCTTGTCACTGACCCCAGCACGGCAGACATATATTCTAGCACAATGCAAGTCAGACCATATCACTCTGGCTCAACAACCCAGTACGGTGATGCTCTACAGTTGTGATCACCACAGAGGTTGCATATAAGACATCTAGAATATCAGATATTTACTCTATGATTCATATCAGTAGAAAGAATACAGTAGTAACAAAAATAGTTTTATATCTGAGGGTCATAACCACATGAGGAACTATATTGAAGGGTCACAGCATTAGGAAGGTTGAGAACCACTGCTCTATCTGGACAAAAGGTGATGCCTTTAGAACAACCCAAAATCAAAACAAGAACTTTCCCTGCTTCCACGCCCCCTCACTTATACTGTTCCTCATCCTTCACATCTCCACCATAATCATGGGGCAGTTTGTGGTTTAACGGAAAATTAGCTTCACCCCCTTTCTTCTCAACAAATTGGTCATCAGAACATAGAACCTCAGATCTTTATGTTCTGGTATCTGCTCATATACCAGTGGAGGCTTCCTCAGTATCTTACACCCACAATCACATCCTGTCCTAGCTAGTTTAATGTCAGCACAAATAGAGTCATCAGAGAGGAGGGAACCTCAATTGAGAACCTCTATAAGATGCAGCTATAGGACATTTTCTTAATTAGTGATTGATGGGGAAGGCACAGCCCATTATGAGTGGTGCCATCCCTAGGCTTGCAGTCCTGGGTTCTATAAGAAAGGAGACTAAGCAAGACATAGGAAGCAAGCCAGTAAGTAGCCTAAGCACAGCATACAACTAGCTCCTTTGTGCATCTCTGGAGCCTTTCCACTAACCAGTGTTCATATCTATGTTTAGTGCTTACTGTTATGCCTCAGGAAAAAAGAACTTCAGGTATCTGGGCATGTAAGACTGTGAAAGGATAGCTTAGTTCATGGTCGAGCATAGACATCAAACCCCAGACCCTATTGGGACAGTAGGTATTCGGCCTTGCTCCCAGACTCCAGGCTCCTGACATGAGGCCAAAGATCTCCATTGATCCGTGTCTTTCAGTTATGTAGGGCAACACCCCTATCACCCCTCTCAAAGAGAGGTTTGTGTCACCTAGCACAGGTAGAGGGCATGACTACAGGCCTCAGAGCCTCAAGAGATCTCCATATTAATGAGATACCTAAAGGCCAGAGGGTATAGCCAATTAAGCATTCCTTCCCAGACCCTCCACCTTACAAATGGTATTTAACCAAAGGCCTGCACTGAGAAATGGGGGGAGTACAGCCACATCCACTTTCCACTATGACAATAAACCTTTTAAAATCATGAACTTCCTCGTGTCTTTGGGGCTCCGAAGTGAGGAACTGTGGAGAAGACACTTGACTACCGAGCCGCTGCTTAATCTCCTGCTAGAAGACTTCTCTACATTCCCACCTCAGAGGCTTAGCCAACCCAGCCAAGCAAGTGCCATAACCAAGAGTCTCTCAGCCCGCGGGGGGTTGGGGGGGTGCTGCCAGAGTTTCTCCCTCTCATCTCTCTCAGCTGCGGGCCGGTCCAGCCCATATGCCCATTCTGTCTCAGTTCTTCCACGGCTCCCAGAGGCATCTGGGAGCCCAAGGACAGAGACCACTGGCCTCCCAATCAGCCGCTTCAGCCTGGAGACCCCCACTCAGGAGCCCTGCCCCTACTGGACTTCAGGCTGAGACCTCTCCATGGCTGGGCAGAGCCCCAAGGCTTCTCAGCCCAGCACTGCATGGAGTGAACTCAGTCAAATTCCCACACTCCTGCCTCCCTGAGCCATGACACGTGGGAACCATAACTCAGCCCAACAGGACCTACGCCCACACGTAGGCACAACAGCCCCACAAAGGCACACTCAGCTAGTTAATGCCAGGGATTCCCTAGCCACACCTGCTAACTACATTAATAACAAGCTAATGAGTAGCATTAGTGAGGGCCAGGCAAAAATGACACCTTACTAGAAAAGAACTGTAATGTTACCAGTCCAGCTTTAACCAGAAATGGTCATGTCTTCTCTAACCATCCTCCTCTGTTCCTGACCACATTTGTGGTTTAATTCTAGAAATGACTACTGATTTTTTGAGTGACTTGTGAAAAACACAGCCAAAGGCTCTTTGCGACTTCAGTTCTCTGAAACAGCACATCATTCTGAATCAAATGTGACAAATGAAGACCATTTCTGTTGTGTTCTGTCTTTATCATATCTGCCTGAACTAATCTTGAGCCAAACAGTCACCTGTCCTTGTATCTTCAGCCAAGTCCTCGGCCTGCAACTAGCATATTTTAGCCATAACAGACCAGGATATAAGAATTCATCCTGCGGTCCATATATTTTCTGTTACAACTACTCTCATCTGTTGTTGGAGCATCTGTCAATAGCAAGCAGGAGTGTGTCCTAATGAAACACTGTCTAGGAAAATGGGCCTGGGATGGCATTGTCCCTAACCCATAAGGTGTTGATCTCTGCCTTCATCAGTTTCTCCTCATATACCTCCAGTTTCTAAGCCTCAAATCATGTAATATAAATAGGCCCAATCTTAGTAATTTAATGATTCACTAATTTGTGTCTATAATTCTTATTCATTTAGTAATATGGAGTTTAAATAAAAGTCCTTATCAACAAAAAATCTTGTGGTTTTGGATCCCTAACTACTGCAAGTACATTATACTGGCAATTGTCATGTGTTGTTTGAGCTCTCTGAGAAGTGTACCTGTAAGGAAGGAGCCTCTTCCCTCCACATGTTTACAAACCAAACATGTTTATGTCAAGTGTTCTCCTAGGTGCCTTGCCTAGGAATCAGCTGTCCCCTCCCCCCCCCCAGCTCTGTGACAAGAAAGGCAGGAAAGTCCAAGAGGATAAACACTGCGACCTTGAGAACAGTTAGATGTTTTTAGTGTTTATTCCACAATATAAAAGTACCTACACCGGGAAAGCAAAGTCGGAAGTTTCACCATTGGAGCCTCAGCCAGGGAGAGAATACTCAACTGGGGCTCCTGATCACTGCTTCAAATTCCCAGTAGTTTTCTACGGGATGTTATAAACCCCAGTTTGATGGCGTTATCTCCATCTACTGGTATTTAGTCGTTTACTTTAAAGCCTCATAGAGGACACATTCTAGTCTGTCTTATGAAGAATTCTGGCTGGCTATCTTAATGGGGTTTTCCTCAGTTGGTTTGTAGAGAGTTTGTAAGTCCCAGGTTTGATGATGTCATCTTCCTTTTCTCATTCCTTTATTTGGAACCGCATGTGAGCAGACACTGACTGTACCTGGGGCTTTCCCTCTCGGGAACAACTCCAGCTGACTGCTTTATTTGATAGGGTTCTCTCAATCAATTTTTAGGTGATGTCTTGAGTTCCCGATTTGATGATAGCCATGCACGCCTGCACCTATCCATCCATTTACTTTTATCACTTCTTTTTTTTGTTTTTTCCTTTAACCGATTGTATTTATTAAACTCACTCATTCAAAATAAGAAAATTATATAGCTGCTGTAGCTCATTCAGACTCTGTGTACACATATGAGTTGCAGTCAAACTCCACTGTTGACACAGCTTCATCTTTCTCTAGTACAGAGATAAGAAACGGATGTAGAATGCAATGTATTGGAAAGATTTTTCTCTGGATCTCAAGAACAGGATCTCAAAATAGAGGCTTCCTGCTCCCCTTCCTCTGTCATTTTTCATGTTCGGATAAAGTCAAGCCAGAAAAGACTTAGCACTTAAGAGTACTTACTTGTTGCCTTTGCAGAGGACTTAGTTTCAGTTCCAAGAATGTATATGCTAGCTCACAAGCATCCATTTTAGACTCCCCCAGTGCCTTCCTCTCTGACCACCATGGGCACAAGGGAAATGTACATACATGCAGGAAGACAAGCCACTCACGCAGAGGCAATACACATTTTAAATACAAATAAAATATTAGGACCCTGTGCTGAGGATGTCAGAATAACAAGTGAGGTCCATCAGCAAGTAACATCCTCCAAGGTGGAGGTTGCTGAAGTTAGAGTCTGTCTACACACCTCCCTTTGTTTGATCGTCTGTAAGCAAAGCTCTGTACCTTTCCCCTCAAATCCAAACTGGACTCCACTCACTGATTCGGTGTTTACTGAGCGCTAAACTTAAGCTAGCCACTGTCAGACAGTTGTCTCCCTTTGTTGCTTTTTCAGCCAGGTGACAAAAGTAGTTGACTGTCTTGTTGTCTTATGGACACCAGCCAGGAGAATGGGGGTAGACAGTGGGTGGAGCTTCCTGAAGGACAGTGCTAGACATAAAGCGAATCTGGAAAGATGGAGAAGATCTGAAAACCCAGAGATCCTTCTACACCATATATAAATTTTGAGCTTCATCTCGAAAGTTGAGAAAAGCCAAAGGCCCAAAGAAAGTAATGGAGACAGCCATAGATTTGTCCTGCAAACTTGGCAGTAGATGTGCAGATCTGACACCAGCAAGAGCATCACAGGTTGTAGAAACAGGGTCCTGACAAGAAACTGGGGAGCAAGCAGATGTCCATGGTACCATACAAGATGAAAAGAATGAGCAAAAGGCCCCTCAGGTTACTGAGGAGTCCTTGCCTAGCTATCCAAAGCCATATGAAGCACAGGTTACATAAGACAGCCTCTAGTGTGTTTTAGAGGCTGATGTAAACAGGGGGCCACTCACCTTCGTGATTTTGAAAGGCATTTCTTGAGTGTCCTCTTTGTTAAACTGCTTCTGCCAGTTTCCTTTGAAGTAGATGGCATTCACAAGGACCAGTGGAGTGTTTGAACTGACTGAACCTGAAGATAGCAACTCTGTAATTTTATCTGAAAGGAAGAGTTTAAAAAGCCAGTTAGCTAAAGTTTGGCTGATGCAAGCACAAGGCTGCCATGCAGAGGGGCCACCTTCTTTAACGGCCAAGTACACAAGGGATTTCACTGCCCCTTAAATATTAATCAGGAATTTGTCCTTAAAGCCACACAACCATCACTGAAGAGAAAAGGAGCACATTTTTCAAAAATTCTGAGAAGAAAAAAATTAAACAAAAGAAAATATTCTAGAAATAAAAACGTTTCAATTAAATCTGAAAATGTATGAGAAGTGTTAGTACATACGGTATGAATCCTTAAAACGTGAGCTAGAAAGGAGAAATTTTAAGTACTTTTAAAAATAGAATGTTTGCTGGAGAGATGACTCGGGGATTAAAAGTGTTTATACTATAGCAAAGGACCCTACTTCTATGTCAAGTGGCTCCACATATCTGTGATTCCAACTCCGGGGGACCTGATGCTCTCCCACAGGTGGACATACAGACTCACATCCATATATATACACATAACTTAAAAATACTTTTTTATAAAAATGTTTTGGACAAACTTAAATTTTAAAAATAGGGCTAAGGAGATAGTTCAGTCATTAAAGTGTGTGCTTTGCAAGCACAAAGTCCTGAGTTCAATTCCCAGAACATACATAGACAAACAAACAAATCAAAAACAGTGATGTGATCATATTTGTATCTCCACACTTTGGAGGTAGATTCAGCTGGATCTTTAAATTTTATTGAACAACCAGCATGGCCTACTTTGTGAGTTCCAGTTCTATTAGAGGCTTTGACTTAAAAAAAAATGGCAAAGAGATGGCCAGTACCTGAGAAGCAACAGCCAATATCCTCTGACCTCCACACATGCAGAAACAAGTGCACATGCACCCACACTTGAACACACAGGTGAGCCTGCATATGTACACACATACACACATTGTTTAGATCAATAAATATATTGGCCCCTCTCAGAGAAAGATTATATGTGTTGAAAATAACACGGAGCCCCATACATATGTATAATTTTCTGTATTGGGTTTTAAAAACTCAATTTAAAATTAGATGAGCAGATATACAGTGTTCCTTACAAGTACACAGCACAGCTTAATACCACAGACGAAAGAGGGCAAACCCAATCCACCAGTAGGAAAGCACTAGAACTGTAGATTATGAGCCACGCCAGAGCAGGAGCTCCAGACTCAGAGTGTAAACTGTTCCTCACACTATTCATAAAAAGACTAAATGAAAAGAAGGAAGGAAAAAAGAAAGCAGCAGGTAGATAGGGAGGGAGGAAGGAAATGTGCTCTAGAAAAGCTGTCTAAGATATTGGGAGACATCATGGATACACTGTTTAGAGAAGAATAAAGCTAGACCACATGTCAGAAACTATTAATTTATCAAAGGCAGAATTGTAACGGTTGCATTAATTTAGAGAAAAGCTTCTCTAAATTAACAGAGTATCACTATCTTGCCCTGGTTAGCCTAGAACTCACTATATATAGACCAAGTCTGTAGAGCAAGTTGACCTCTAATTCACAAAGATCCTTCTGTCTCTGCCTCCCAACTACTGAGAATAAAAGCCTGTACCACTACACTTGGTCATACATCAGAGCTTCTTAAGATGGGGGTCCTTATCCCATAATGTATCGAAATGAGGTGGGAAGGGAAAACTTTGTAAAAGTGAAAGAAATTTGAATGCGTAAAAGCCAAAAACTAAAAATCAAACTTTGAAATCAAACATGTAATGATCCTGGGGTGGTTCTGGCATCGATGGCTTACACTGTATCACATGAATTCTCTGCAGCCTTGGTTTTGAGCACACATACAAATTTGCACTGTGCATCCTGTCATTCCTATAGTGCTAATTCACACTATCTGAAACACTGTGGCTCAGATTCAAGACTCTTGTAAGTTGGGAACTGCAATGTTTTCCTACACACAGTTTCTGCTGTTTTCCAAACAGAACGGTTTAATCATAAAAGACAAAAACTCTTAATATTTTTCTATAATCATTTTTAGTGAATGTATTATATACATATATACATATACATATATATATATATATATGTTGGGTTGGACAAGCACTAAAATCTCATTACTATAAAAATGTACAATAAATGATAACATATATATACCAAATAATTGTTCAGATACCTAAGCTTTTATTTGTTTGGTACACGCTGCTAAATCACATAAAAATTAAATATAAAGGAGTCACAGATGGGAAAAGTTCAAGAGGCTCATATTTAAGGCAGGGACTATAACTCAGTGGTATAGTGCTTACCTAGTATGCCTGAAGCCCTAGAATTGCTTCCTAGCATGGAAAAACCATAAAATAAAAAGGAAGCATCACCTTAAAAGAGATATTCTACTTTACATTTGATGTCCTTGTGAAGGAGAAGACAGTAAGACTACTAAAGTAGGCTAACTGGCTGACAATGACTAGGAGGCAGCTCAGTAATCAAGAGTCTCTGAGCATGTTCAAGGCCCTGGGTCTCAGCGCCAAAACTATCCAACCAATCAAACAGAACAGAACGACTCTGTGTTCACCTTCTGTCTTTTTGGCTACCCAGGTGTTGATGTGCTGTCGGGACTGCTCTGTAGCACCCTGAAAGTCCAGTTCTTCCATCTCTGCTTCGTAGAACTTGCGGCAGGAATCCTTAAAAGACTGAGACACAGCAACATAATTATACAGCCATGAAAGTGATTAGCACCAATAGTCTCCTACCTAATGTGAAAAGCAAGATTTCAATAATGTACAAACGTATCTGCTGTTAAAAAAAAAGGAGGGTGGGAATCTATAATAAACCTCTCTATACTCAACTTTTTTGGATTTTAGTTATTGAATGAGGTAAGAGAATCATCTTGAAAATGTCACAAACAGCAGATCCTCTAGGGACTAGCTGTGGCTGACTGAAGTCATTGGGAAGACCCTTGGGAAGACCAGTGTGTGCAAAGTGAGGGGTGGCCCCACAGGAACTACAATGGTGTTGCATGATGTCACAGGGAACACAGGACATGGGAAGTCACTATGCACCATCCACCCTCACAGCTTCCTTGAAACAGAAGCTACATAAATGGACACCATTCAAGCACAATGTCACTTATGACCATAGAGTGTCTGAGTATGATATGTGAAGCGAGGAAACAATTATTTTATTTTATTTTAATTCATTTTATTTTATTTTACATAACTGTTGGTTTGGATTTTAAATCACTACATGTGCCTAGTGGTTACCACACAGAGTGCCTCAGCTTCAGAAGTGAGAAATTCACAAAAAAGCAATCAGGGCTGGGGACACAATCTAGTGAATGGTTTAATAGGGAAAACTGGCCTAGAATACACAAGGTCCTGGTTTGATCTCCAGCTGCACAAACAGATGTTCAAAACAGATGCTCTAAAATGGTAGTGACATAATGACAGCCTACAAACCGCCATGTTAGAACAGAAGGTGATGTAGCACAAATGGGCTGAGATGTGCACTATGCTAACAGCATATACAGAATGATTCTCTAGTCTTCCTTTCAAACAGCTTGGGGCTACATTTTTTCATTTGCTTTCAGAGTACTAGTTTTAAGGAGAACTTCACAATTCTCCTTAGGCAAGAAAGAGTCAGCCATAGCTGTACCTCAAAGGGTCCCTGTAGGTCCAATTGGGAAAGCAATTAGCAATACATATTACAATCTCAATGCTTTACATTCTTCATTTTACAAACACATCTAGGAGCGAAATTGTGTGTGTGTGTGTGTGTGTGTGTGTGTGTGTGTGTGTGTGTGCAAAATCATATTCAACAATATCAAATTGGTAATGGCCCAGATGGCGTACAAGTTAAAATCCATTCATGGGCAAATGGCTTTCCATGCCATGAATCAAGTATACTCAGGACTATCAGATGATGATCATAGTGCGCAGGCCTGGGGCTGTGGCTCGGTGGTTGAGTGTGTGTTTAGCATGTCTGAGGTCATGGTTCCAACCCCAACATCAATAATAATAATAAAGTAATAATAGGGTAAAAATAAATGATGATATAATAACCTATAATGCAACATAAATACAAAAAATGAAAGAAACAAATTATGGAACGATTTATATGTTCTGATGTCCATATGCAGGAAAAATATTCACAAATAAATTTCTGCATCTGTAGGAAGACAAACATGAGCTCTGTAAACTCTCTTATCTTGGGTGAGATGAAAGCTGGAAAACAGATTGAGGAGGTTCACACTTTGCTGACTTAATTTGCATTCTGTACAATTCTATATAGCACAAATGCTCATGAACATATACAGAAATTGCACTGGTGCTCAAATTGCTGGGGGAACTCCCGGCACACCCACTCTCTGGAGAATCACATAATTCCTCTCTCACTCTGCTTCATGAAAACTAGGAAGACTTACAGGTAGAATATCAAAAGTCTTTTCCCCGTAGAGTCTATTGGCTGTTCTGAGCAAGTACTGTGTGCCAGTCTTGTTCACTTCGGTGAGAAGGGACTGGAAGCCCTGGTGGACGTCTCTACCTCCTTTGTTGTTGCATTTATCCAAAGAAAGTGCCTGAAATCAGAACAGATTAAAAACACAACTTCATCAAGCCCAACTGATGAAGGACAAGAGTCAACACTAAACTCATCCTCAGAATTTCACCGATTCCTGCTACCACTAAAATACAAATACCTTGAATGTTCCCTTTCTAGGGTCCTCCCTGTGCCCTGTCAGCCCTGAAATGAACAGAAATGGACCTCTAAACCCCCTCAATTCTTCATGTTCATTACCTATTCCCTGGCTAAAACTATGGCTGTCAACCAATTTCCACTGGCTCAAAGCAGGCAGCCCCTGACCTTCAACTTCAGCAGTCTCTCCTCGGCCCTTTGGGCTAGGATGGCTCTCCCACTGACTATGCTAGACAATTTTATGTCAACTTGACACAGGTAAAGATCTCTGAAAAGGGGATGGTTTAAATGTGGTTGGCTCATGGGATGTGTGGCACTATTCAGAGGTGCAGCCTTATCGGAGGAGGCGTGGACTTGTTGGAGGAAGTGTGTCACTGTGGAGGTGGGGCTTTGAAGTCTCACATAAATGTTCAAGTCAGGTCAGTGTGACAGAGCCTCTACCTAGCTGCCTGCAGAAGATAGCTCCCTTCTCCTTCTCCAGCATCATGTCTGCCTGCACACTGCCATGCATAGTCTGAACCTCTGAAATTGTAAGCCAGTCCCAATTAAATGATGTTCTTTATAAGCATTGCCTTGGTCATAGTGTCTACTCACAGCAATGAAACTCTAACTAAGACAGCCTCCATAAGATCAAGCTGTGGACAGGTCTATATAGGACATTTTCTTAGTTATTGGTGTGACAGGGCCCAGTCAATTGTGAGTACAACTATCTCTGGGATGATGATCTTGGGTTCTATAAGAAAACAGGCTGAGCAAGCCATGTGGAGCAAGCCAGTAAGGAACACTCCTCCATGGCTTCTACACCAGCTCCTGCTTCCAGATTCCTCCCCTGTGTCAGTTCCTGCTCTCACTGCTTTTGATGATGAGCTGTTTTATGGAACTTTGAGTAAAATAAACCCTTTCCTCTCCAAGTTGCTTTGGTCATGGTGTTTGATTACAGCAATAGTAACCCTAAGTAAAGTAACAATGTTCCAGGTCTGGGTCTTCAAATATCCAGTACCATTTTTGTATCCAGCCAACCTAATGGAAGCAAATCCAAACTATCTTTTGCAAATAAGATGCAAACTCCCAGAGTCAGCATCATCACAAAATATGGCTTGGCAGAGAACCACAGCTCTAGCCAGTACCTGGTACCTCAGCCATGAGATCAGCCTCATTGGACCTTCTGATGTTGCTTAAAGAGCTCACCAACTAAAGGATGGCAGCTGATCTGGTTTCCCAGTGAGCAGAGGAGCTCTTCATAGACCCCAGTTTTTGAGAAACAATGTCAGCAATGCTTTTGCTTATTGTATATCAGGTTGGCTTCGTTCTAAAGAAATAGATGAGGCTCACAGTAACCCAGAAATTCAACTAGCGGTGTTGACTTTGGAATTAACAGCCATAAAGGACAGGAAAATTAAAAAAACGAAGTAATAACAACTGAGACCTGGAGAACAGGGTTTGTGGTGTGGTAAATATTGGCAGAAATAGTTGTTTGTGGTCAAAAGAAATATGAGGCATTGCCCCTGTGGCCTTTGCTATCTGTCTAAATAATTGTGACCGTCAGTCTGTAAGGAAAGAGTAAAGTTAAAAAGAGGTCATGAGGATGAAATCTAATCCAGTCTGACAAGTGTCCTTATCAGAAAGGACATTGGGTTAATGCAAACAAGAAACACACTGTGGGGACACAAGGAGTAGCTGCCATCTATGGGCCAAAAGAAACCATAAATGTCAAATATACCTGAAGCACTGCTCCCAAGAAGAGCCTCAGCTGGTTCTGTCTCAGGTGTCCCAGCCAAACCTGACCCAATGTGATAAGAAACTTCTGGGAGCAGCCCATTATACTTGGCTTGTTGGAAGACTGAGTCCCATGAGGAGCCAGAGAACAGATAGTGAAGTCATGAGTAGACTTGGTGCAAAATTTTTGGTGTTCCTGCCCCAAGTGATGTGCACCTTTCCAATTAATACCCCCATCCTCTGTGGGACTGGGGAGTCCTGGGACCAGGGAGAGCTGGCCCAGAGTAAAAGTGAGGTCAAGGTGTTTCCAAACCTCAGAAATCTCATCCTGAGATTGCAGGAAAAGGACCGCTTCCCCTCCCCTGCCCTGAGATTGCAGGAAAAGGACCACTTCCCCTCCCCTGCCATGGGCCTGCATGTCCCAGCACATTTAGACCTCTGCCATGTCAACCTTGCTCCTACCCCAGGAGGTTAGGTAGCCAGTAGCCAGGTTAAACTTTCTCTTTCCTTATAAGATCATGTCCTGCAGCACCTGGAATTCCTTTGTATGCAAATGAGGCATCCCCAGCATCCTGTCTCCAGCCAATGATATAAACTCACCTCAAAAGCCCTTACTCATCCCCCAAAGATTTAAGTAGCTTTTGCTACACACATTGAAAGAGCTGTCTCTCGCTGAAGCCTCCCCTGTGAGTCTTTCTCATTGCACTCACACCTACCTATGGTCTCTTTCATCCCTGGTATTCCCTCCCCAATTCTAAGGACTCAGGATACACCTGTTGTCAAGGTCAAGGCTGATTGTGCCAGAATATGAAGGGAAATGAGGCCTGAACAGAAAACCTCCACCCTGACAGTACTAACTGGTCATGCCAGGATCCCAGCAGGGGTAGCACATCCTTCCCATCAGATACAACCACATCCCTATGTCACCACCAGTTGTATATCAAGAGCAGTCACTTTAAGATCTGAACCAGCTCAACTGACCATCAATGATACTTAGCTGCCGTGAAATGGGGCTGGTTACCTGAATCATCTGGCTTGCAGTCGTTCCTTTTGCCCCCATGAAGACCATGGCCAGGGCTGAGGAGATGCTCATGGGTGAGAAAAGTACATTTTTTGAGCTGTCTTCACCCAGTGTTTTCAAAAGGTTTAAGGCAAAGGTGCCATTTGCTTCCAGCAGTGGATCCATGATGGTGAGCCTAGAAAGAGGGGTTGAAATCAACCTCACATTAATAAAGCTGATATGTAACCTGCATCTTCTCTGTCACTCACACCGTGATGCTGTGGCTCAGCACACAAAGGGACACACACAGCATGGAAGGTAAAGGTCACACTCATTAAATGATAAGCCCTGTTGGGAACAGATAGGCTATTTCGGGGACAGAGCCATGTCTTTTTAATGTGCAAGGAATCTTTAATTACATGAAGAGTCGCAAGGAGTCAGGAGAGAGAGGACTAAGGGCAGAAATAGACTCATAGCAATCAGAAATCAGCAAATGCATCATTAGAGGCTGGAAGTATGAGATTGGAAGAGCAGGACCTGTCTGCTCTGACATCACTCACAAATAGTAACCAAAATTCTGTTTCCCCAGCCAAACATCTCCTTCCATTCTAAAATGCTTCAATGAGTCCCCTGAGGAGTGTGTGAGAATAGGTAGAGCAAGAAATGAGGCAAGAAAGTACCAGCAAGGGACAGGAGCCAAGCTCTAGGGCATGTGAAGAGACACTGAGTATATCCTGGCTGTTACCTGTGGTCAGACTGACGAGGACAGGTCCCAAACCCTTGACCAGATTGAGTATTTCAGGTAATTGGTATTTTTTTTTTGTTCTTTATGCTGAGAACTATTCTTCTTGGCTAGTAAGAATCTCCTTAAACTATATACTTGGCTCTGAGCTGTTAGTCTCAAACATTGCCTGGCTTTGTGGCAATAAAAGCACCTTACATCCTCTGTTCAACATATCTAATCCAAGGATATAGTATTGTTCTTCTCCTGCTTTCTGTTAATAGAGCCATTGTGAGTAAAGCTGAGTCTAGGAACTGAAAACTCAGCTGCTGCTATTGGGCACACCAGCAACAAGCTAAAAGACACACTTCCTGTCACGGTACAAGGGGACCATGCAGTAAAGTCACCTTGGAAGTTCCAGTGCACCTGACTCTTCTGAGACACACTTGCACTTGCAGTCATTCGCCTGGGCTCAGATTCCTCTTAGGTTTCATTGTGCAAGTGTGTTCAGGGACCACATTGTTCACAGGACTCCATTTTGGATGCTTGCTCTGTAAGTTCTGCACAGCTCTGTCGCTTTGCCAGTATTATCTGTTCTGGGACAAGATAATAGTTCCTGCTTCATGCCTTCATTCTGATCACTCAAGCTGCCCAATCAGTTATTTTGATTTATTGTTTTTCTGATATGATCATTATCCTTCCATTCCACTGAGAGGTTACCAGGGTTCATAATAGTCTGGGTGTGATTTTTACATCGGAATCTTTGAGCTATTGCTTAACTGCTTTCTGCTGTCAGCTTTACCACTGAGAAATCTGATTGACATTTGACCCCAGATCTACTCTCCTTCCCTTGTGCTGAACTCACCCCTGACTCTGAGGGACTTGTTCCGCCAAGACAGCACCTGTGGCCCCTTCTGAGCTCTTCTTCTCACACTGACACAGAAACTTCCTCCAAAGGTCTACTCCAAATGTCTACAGGCTCCTCCTGTCCATGTCCTGTTCACCCCTCTCCTTAACCTGACCTTGCTATGATGTCTTAAAAGCCTCCTCGACTGTCAGTTTAGCTTGGCTCTAGGAGAACAGGGAGATAAAATACGTAAGACAAACTATTTCAGTGATCATAATACCTAAATCCTTGAATATCTAAAGTCCATATATTTTTATTCCACCACCCCCTCTCCATTTTCAACTAGGTCAAAACCTTGAGTAAAATCCTCAATTGTCCAGAGACATGAATTTGAAAATAACCTATTACACAACAACAAAAGAATTTCACTTTCAGTTTGCAATATATAAATCTTTAACAGTCAATTAGTCAAAGGCTGAAAACATCCCATGCTCAACTCCAATGCACATAAATCATTATATAATTTGAAAATGTTCACTTCTGTACAAATACCATTACAGGAGTTGGTAGTACAGGTCAGTGATAGAACACTTGCCTGTGTGTCCCAGGCTTTGGCGGGGGAGGGGGGGTCAAACCTAGCATTGCATAGTAAAAATCACATCATGATTAAAAATGAAAATTTTAATAAGGACATAGGACATGTTATTAATGTGTTAGAACTACACATTTTTTAGACATTTTAAATCAGCCTCATGAGTCATTTCAGGATCATTTTCCCTTGCAGCATCATTACTATATTTGGGTACTGGCTGCCATCAGTGGATAAGGCTTAGGAAGTTAGTAAGTCAGGAGTCACTACTGAACTGTGCTTTTTGATCTGCTTAAGGATGCTTTCATTTCCCCACACAGTGTGACCGTTTAAATGCTGCTTTATTGAGCGGTTGGGCCTTTGTTTGATTCACATTTCCTATGCAAGGGGAGGAAGGTAGATGGAAAAAAAATCAGGAGTTAGACACACTACTGACTTGTTCTGATGTCTTTTTGGAAAAGGTCTAACAAGCATGGAAACAGGGGCTTATGGTCTTTCATGAGATTATACAACATCTACTTGCATTCCCTGGTTTTAAACACGGGGAAAACTGTTGACTCTGCTCGGATTCCATCTACTGTTTCTGTATTGAGCGAGCTGTGATTTGATAAACTATAATAAGATGCTTGAACTGGAACTGTCCTAATATAAATTTAAATACTCATTCCCATGTACTAAAGACTGTTAGTTGGAATCTGGAGATACCAAAATCCTCAGTTGCTCAGCTACTTAATATTAACATAGTAGTCTGGGCATGTGGCTAAGAAGGTAAACGTCTTGCCTCACAAGCAGGACCAAGAGCCAACGTAAAAGACAGGGGGCACAGCATCCATCCGTAATCTCATCCACTGGAGGATGAGACAGTGTATTCTCTGAGCAAGCTAGCTAGCCAGAGTGGCCAAAATGGTGAGCTCTGGGTTCACTGAGAGACCCTGCCTGAAAATATAAGGTGGAGAAAACATAATAAAAGAAACCAGGCATCACACACATGTATACACATATGAACATACACATACCCACTCAAGGAAACACGCATGATATGCAAATAAGTTAAATTAAAAAATAAAATAGTATAGTATTTGATATAACCAATCTACATTTTCCTGTATTCTTTAGATTATCTGTAAATAACCTACATTACCCAGTACAATGTAAATGTCAAATAAACCAGCCTTTATACCATACTATTTAAAGAAGAAAAAGAAAAACAGTCTACCCATGTTTGGGGTCTCACTATTGTGTTACCCAGGTTGACCTCCAACTCTTATCTTCCTGTCTAAGTCTCTTGAATGTTGGAATTACCTACAGAACACCTAGCTTCTCCCCAAATAGTTTTTATCTGCTGTTGACTTCTATCTGCTGAGTCTGATTGACTAAGTGTGAAATCCATGGAAGAAGACATGGGGATCCAAGCAAACTTTCTTTAAGGAGCCAAGTGTGAACCAAACACCCTCTCTGCATGACAGCAGAAGCCATAGTGGGTATAGTCACTCAGGGTAGTTCTCAAATACGAACAGCAGCCATTTCTGTAACCACATTCATATTACTGCGCCCCAGGATGGTTCACAGGGCCTTAACTCAAATGTTATTTAATAGTCAGACCCCCCCCACACACACACACACAAGCCACAATGCAAGGAAGTAGTCAGCCTTGGGTACAGTGCTCTCAGAAGCAGCTGTTTCCCATGGACTCTAAAAACAGTGTAGAAGAACCAAACCTCACCTAGCTTTCTGATAGCACATGAACGCTAGATTTCCATACTTCTGATTTTCAAAACGATTCAAGGCAAGAAGGAGGAACAGCCAGCCTGGGGCTCTGGGGCTGCGCAAGTGTTCAGCAGAACAGGCTCAGGGTCCATCAGCGAAACAGAGGAAGGGAGGAAAACCTGAGCACTAATTCCAATTTTCATCTGGCGCACAAATCTTTTCATAACTTTGCCTATGTCCTACCAGTCCCACAGACATCATCAAATCTTGCAGCACCCTACCACTACCGCCATGAGTGTAATAAAACAACAATAACAAACAAAAGAACAACAGCAAAAAAATAAAAAATAAAAAACAAAAACAAAAACCAACCAACACATCTGGGATTGTCCTGGGGTATCAATCCGAGCTTGAAAGTACTAAGGGTATGGGCAACCCCCGGAGAACAGCCCAGTTCTGTCTCTAAGACCCAGGCTCAGCCAGCCAATAAGAGACTACAAGGGTGGCAAAGCCTGCTGCCCTGGGCAGACCACTAGGTCCCTCTTGGTTTCTATACCTCCTGGTACCAATCCCTCCAGGATTCTTTCGTCAGGGCTCATTCCGTGCACCAAGCTAGTTCCTCCCATCCAGGTCCCGCGACCCCAGCGCCCCACCCCAACCCTTCAGCCAGCTCGCAGCAGAGCTTACCCAGGACCCCAGGTTCAGGCCGGCAACTAGCAGAACTTAGAAAAGGAAGAGCTTGTGCTCTGGCGTCAAATAGCTGCAGGGCGCAGGGTGGGGAGGTCTCAGAGTCAGGAAGTCCCGGGGCGGGGGAGGAGGGGGCGGCAGAGGGGCAGTGGGCTGTCCGGATGAAAAGGAAAAGCAGCAGGGCAGAAGATCTCTGCACTTTGACTTTGGTCTGCAGTCGGGTCCAGCGGCTAGCTGCAGACAGGTCAAGTTAGATCAGGAGTCCTCACTGGTATTGTTTGTTTGCTAAGACTACATACTTCAGAAAACCAAGGGATTTAACCAAACCGCCTGGATGAAGCAATTAGGAAGGTATCCACTAGGGGTCTCTCTCCCTCCCTTCCTCCCTCTCTCCCTCCCTTCCTTCCTCTGTCCCTCCCTCCCTCCTTCCCCCCTCTCTCCCCTCTCCCCTCTCCCCGTCCTTCCCTTCTTCCCTCCGTGTGTGTGTGTGTGTGTGTGTGTGTGTGTGTGTCCATATTTGCACGAGGGTTATGGCCTCAATGACCAAAATATGCCAAATATGCCAACTCTCAATGGGAATAAACGAGACAGCATTAAACAGGAATTTTGGTAGTTCCTTTTAGAGTTATGGCCAGGGGCCAAGTGCCTGCCTAGGATGCACAGGAAACCACAGAAGCCTCCCTTGTCATTACTGTGTCCAAGACTAACCCCACTACTCTTCCAGCCCTCAGGTACTGGCATTTTATATAAATGGTGGGAAAACTCTGACATCTCACATCTCTCCCATAGAGCAAGAAGACCCGGTGGGGAGAATACTGGCCAGGTTTTAAAGACTGGTCAATTTTGGAAACCTCAGATTCTTTTCAGCCTCCTTCCTTCTTACACTAGGACAGGATTCCCGGCACTGACCTTACTGATATTTGAGTTAGGTGTGTCTTGGTTGTGAAGGCTGTAAAACCTTATAGAATGTTTAGCAATACCCTGGCCTTTCTAGATGTCAGTAGCAGACCAGGCCACCACACCAGCTGTGAGATGTGACTCTTGACGTACAGAAACACAAAGGAACGCTCCACTTAGCCTCTGTGTTATTTCCGATGCAGCTTTATTGCTTCTGGTTTATCCTTCCAGCCCACCCTTTCTGAAACTACAGGGCACATAATCTTTGTACGTGTGCACATTAGGGTTCTCTGTATAACTAATTTCCTACTTATCATCAACAGGGGAGCATTCTTTCAGTTTTCTACCACAGATCTATGAGTTGCTATTTAAAAATGTTTGGGTGACCTCCCTAAAAGATTGCACAGAACTCTCTTTTGTTTCCTTTCCTGGCTTCCCTGAATACCTTTGTGTGTATCTTGATTGTTGATTTTAGACCATTTCAAATGTTGTCATAACTAGCATACAGCTAAGCTCTCATCAGTGTTAATTCATACACAGCAGGGTGTCAGTGTGTGCATTCCAATTAAATGAGTCCTGAGATGGAAAAATACCCTGGAATAAATCCACTTCCTAAAAGGACAGTGGCCATAAAATGTTGAAAACTCAGAACTTTTGGTTGGTTGTTGAATTCATCCTCATAGGGACAGTACCCGATGGAGATTCTCTGCTGGGTCCAATTCCAGTCAGTCTTCTGGATCTTTTGCCAAGTTTATGTATGTACTAACTGGTAAAAAATCCATATTTTTGTAGTTTTGTTTTGAAATAAAGTCTCACTATATGTCCTATATTAGCCTCAAACTCTGATTGTCTGCCTCTACTTCCCGACTGTTGATACTACAGTCATGAGCCCTCATGCACGTCTGTAAAGTCCAGCTATTACAAGAAATTTCTGTCAGCTAACCAAAACACTTCCTCTTCTATAGCTGATCAGTCTTGATATCTGACCAGCAACCGTGTCTCCCAGACAGCATCGGATCACCCTGGCCTGTCTTCAGCAGGGTCAGAATGCCAGTCACCTGCAGTGTTTGCTCCTAGTAATTTTTTTAGCCTACCATCACCTGCCTACTCTTTGGCTGTAGATTACATGATGTACATACTGTGCCAAGAACTGAGCCCCAGTCTCTGTCTCCCATCACACTATCCCCTTGTTGATCCTGATGATTATTAGTAATGGTTTCCATATTACAACCTCTTAGAAAGTTAAGAACAGAATAGCTTTTCTTTTCTAATACTTCCCAGAATGTTTTGGTTGGTTTTTTGTTGTTGTTGTTTTTGTTTTTTTCTGTATTTCATATGACCCTCATTTCTTTTATTTTTTATTTGTAAGTTTTTTTAAAATATGTTAATCAAAGGCTTTATAAGCTATTCCACCCTCTTCCAACAAAATCACTACTTTTCCCTAGAAAGACAGCCCAATATTAACCACCTCAGTCCTCAAGCCCAGGAAATAGGGGCACCGACTCTTCATTAACTTCTTCAATCTGATTACAGGCATTGAGATATTAGAAGAGGGGTGGGGGGAAGAGTAAATTGATAAGCCTCTGATGTCTGTGTCTTCACTGCATCCAGCTGAGATTCCAGGACATCAGAGGTTCGAGCCGGTCTGCTTAGCTGCTTGATGAGTAGATACACCAAGGCTGTGTATTCTGCAATATACAATTCTCAAAACAAATTTTAGTATCAAGATATTTTTTGTTTAAATTTTGGAATCTAGTCTTCTGGTGGGCTGTCTCTATCATATCTAATTCATATAATTCTGGGAGTTTCTATGAGATGTGCTCCCATCATCCTCCCATTCCTGCCTTCCTGCTCTCAAATTTCCCAACACTAGAGAATCCAAACTATTGGGTACCAAGGCCGCTGATGCCTGACAAGGCCACTCTCAACTACCTATACAGATGGAGCCATGAGTCCCTCCCTTTGTGTTCTCAGGCTGAAGGTTTTAGAATGGCTACTCCAGCTTGTTTCTTAGGACCATTTTCTTGAAAAATTATTTCCAGCATTTTACTCTAAGGTAGTGACTGTCTTTGTCACTGAGGTGGGTTTCCTGTATGCAGCAAAAAGCTGAGTCCTGTTTACCTGTCCAGTCCATTAGTCTATGTCTTTTTGTTGGGGAATTGAGTCCATTGATGTTAAGAGATATTAAAGAACAGTGATTGTTGCTTCCTGTTATTTTCGTTATTTGAGGTGGAATTATCTTTCTGTGGCTATCTTCTTTTGGATTTACTGGAAGAGGATTACTTTCTTGCTCTGTCTAGGGTATAATTTCCCTCCTTGTACTGGAGCTTTCCCACTAATATCCTTTGTAATGCCGGGTTTGTGGAAAGATATTGTGTAAATTTGGTTTTGTCATGGAATATCTTGGTTTCTCCATCTATGGTGATTGAGAGTTTTGCTGAGTATAGTAGCCTAGGCTGGCATTTGTGTTCTCTTAGGGTCTGTATGACATCTGTCCAGGATCTTCTTGCTTTTATAGTATCTGGTGAGAAGTCTGGTGTAATTCTTATAGGTCTGCCTTTGTATGTTACTTGGCCTTTTTTCCCTTACTGTATTTAATATTCTTTCTTTGTTTTGTGCATTTGGTGTTTTGATTGTTATGTGACAGAAGGAATTTCTTTTCTGGTCTAGTCTATTTGGCATTCTGTAGGCATCTTGTATATTTATGGGCTTCTCATTCTTTAGGTTAGGGAAGTTTTCTTCCATAATTTTGTTGAAGATATTTATTGGCCCTTTAAGTTGGGAATCTTCACTCTCATCTATACCCATTTTCCTTTGGTTTGGTCTTCTCATTGTGTTCTAGATTTCCTGGATGTTTTGTGTTAAGAACTTTTTGCATTTTGCATTTTCTTTCACAGCTGTGTCAATATTTTCTATGGTATCTTCTGCACCTGAGATTCTCTCTTCTATCTCTTGTATTCTGTTGGTGATGCTTGTGTCTATGACTCCTGATTTCTTTCCTAGGTTTTCTATCTCCAGGGAAGTCTCCCTTTGTGATTTCTTTATTGTTTCTACTTCCATTTTTATGTCCTGGATGGATTTGCTCAATTCCTTCACCTGTTTGGTTGTGTTCTCTTGTAATTCTTTAAAAGATTTTTGTGTTTCTTCTTTAAGGGCTTCTACCTGTTTACCTGTGTTCTCCTCAAATTCTTTGAGAGTGTTATTTATGTCCTTCTTAAAGTCCTCTATCACCATCATTAGAAGTGATTTTAAATCTGAATCTTGCTTTCCTGGTGATATGGGGAATTCAGGACTTTCTAGTGTGGGAGAACTAGGTTCTACTGATGCCAAGTACCCTGGGTTGCTGATGCTTATGTTCTTGTGCTTGCCTTTTGCCATCTGGATCACCTTAGTGCTACCAGCCCTGTCTCTTACTGGAGCCTGTCTTTCCTATTATCTTGGTTGTTTCAGAACAGTGTAGGGTGGGTGTTACTACTGGGGTTAGAGCTGGGGCCCAAGATCTGCTCAGTGCTTGGGCCCAGACTGGGAGGAACCAGTGCTCCAGGCCAAGAGTGAATTCCTGGGTCCTAGTGGGTCCCAGTTACTCCCTGTTTGGGGGTAGGAGGGCGTTGGTTTGCTGTCTCCTTACCTAAGATACTGCCCAGGTTAGAGCTCCCGGGAGGCCTGCTTCCTCTGGGTTTTGTGAGATTGGGTGCAGAGCTGCTGCCCAGGATCTGCTCAGTGCTCGGGCCCAGACTAGAAGGATGGTTGGTTGGTTTTTATTTTGGTTTTCAGATCTATGTCTCTCTGTCTCTGTCTCTGTCTCTCTCCCTCTCCCCTCTCCCGCTCTTGCTCTCACTCTTTCCCTCCCTATCTCTCTCTTTCTCTCTTTCTCTCTGTTTTCTCTGTCTCTCCCCCCACCACCGTGTGTGTGTGTGTGTGTGTGTGTGTGTGTGTGTGTGTGTGTGTGTGTGTATGAGTTGAATCAGGGACTTACATAGCTCAGACTAGTCTCAAGTATCACTAGATGAACTTAAATGTGCTTTGTAGCTGAGTATGACATTGAACCTTTGATCTACCTGCCTATCTTCCAAGTGCAGGGATTACAGGCCTGCAACATGATGGACCACAGAGGTAGGGATGGCCAGAGTAAGCTCAGGTAACAATGTGGTATATATGTGCACAGACAAGACACAGGCCTTTGGCCACAGTATTTTCATCTAACATGGACCCAACTGCTGCTTTGTAAAAGGAAGGACCCTCTTGAAATCCAGGTTTCATGTATGGAGTAGGGTACACTGACAAAGACTGACCACACAATCCCATCAACTGCCTCTCTTACATGGTGTTTCCTCTGCACTCTGGCAACCGCTGCTTTGTGACTGTGGTCTGTGACTGTGCTCTATGACAGTGATTTGTGGATGGAGAGGTTCAATTTCTTTCTTCC